GCTGACGCCGCGCGGCCCCCCGGGCTGAGCTGGGGCGGGAGGGGCCCCGGGCTGGACCCGCGGAACCGGCGCCTGTGGCGCGCGGAGCGCCCGGCGCAGCCGGAGCCCCCGCCGGGCCGCGCTGGGCTCCGCGCACCGGGGTGCGTCCCAGGGCTGAGGGGAAGGCTGACGGTGGAGAGCCCAGGATGACTTGAAACGCAGCGGGGCTCCGGGCCAACCTGCTGCCCCAAGCAGGGTCCCCTGGAYGTCAGGCCGGGGTGCTCGGGGCTTTCTGCACTCGGGTCCTGAAACCCTCCAAGGAYGGAGGGGGCAGAGCCGCTCGGGACAGCCTGTTCCACTGCTTGCGTGTCCTCACGGGGGAAAGGCTTTCCCTGCGTTCAGCCTCAGCTGCTCACGCTTTAGCTGGTGCCTCCTGTCCCTCCTCATGCACCAAGCACCACAGCAGAGAGACCAGCTGAGCTCCTTGAAAACCTCTCCTGGGTCCCAAGTGTCCGCGTTGCAGTGCCTGGGAACCGTCCCCGCTCCAGGGGAAATGAGCCCGGGTCCCTCGGCCTCAGCTTGCAGGCAGATGCTCCAGGCATGACCCTCTCAGTGGCCTCCGCGGCTCTCAGTAGCCGTCAACRGCTTCCTTGTCACTGTGCCCAGTTTGGRCTCCCCAGGACATCTAATGAGCAGAGGAAAGGCGATAATCACAGGGTGGTGGGGCCCGAGGACGAGCTGTTGGACCTGAAAGATGACACAAGAAAACAGACATGGTTCGAATTACACAGCAATATCTTGATTGGATGGTGGAAAGGAAAGGGACAGGAACATTTCACAAAGTCTTCWTAAAATTAGAAAAAAAAACTTGCAACCATATGGCCACTATAGTTTTAGCCATCTTATTTACGGTATCCAGTCTTTCAAAACAAACAAAAAAAGACTAAACAAAAAAAAAAAACACTGACCACAATTATTTAGCATTTATAATCAATGAAGATTTAGGCGTTTTTCCAAGTGCTGTACAAACATCAGTGAACATTCCTTGGAAAATCTCCTAATGGATGCACAGTGAAGTTAATACTGTAGCCTCTACTGGAAGAATAAAGAAACAATTTCTTTATGCATCAGCAGAGGCTGCTCGTAGGATTCTAAAACCTTTGACTAGAATTTCATGAAATTAAAGACACTTTAGCACAATACAAATTATTATTACTATTATGCAATTAAATTAGTAATAAAGACTAAAAATAAATGCTGAAATGTAATTGGAGAGTTTTTTTATTTTTAATTCAAAATACGAATTGCTTTGTTACAGGTTTCAAGAAGTGTGCCCCTGAGATGGTTAAATCTACTTGCTTCATGATGCCCACACAGTTTATTTGTTCAGTCCCTCCAGCAAAGCCCCGTTTCAAAGTCCTATTAGCCTTTCAAACGGCTAATTAGCCAAAGTTGACTGGAGCCCCTGCTAAGTCACGCAAGAGAGAGATGTGGCTGGTGTTGCTTATTCAAGGGGAGAGAACAGGGGACCGAGTTCAGCAAAGAGCCAGAAGCTCCACATTCTGTCTGAACACCTTTTATTTTCTGGAACCAGGTCTCCTGAGACTACACTGCTTTCTGGTTGAATGAAGAAGTAGTAGCCATTCAAATATAGAACCTAAGACTTAATTTCTACTTCAACAGCTAACTCCCATTGAAACCAACARGATATCGTTGCTTAAATAATTTTGACAACCTTTTGCATGCTGCAATGAGGAGAACTATGCAAGTAAACTGAGAACATCTCACCCATTAACTCAGTATCTTCCCAGGCCACATTACAAGAAATTACATATCCAATTTACTTCTTTTTTCCTCTACATATAAAATTAGATTMATCCTATGGCACATTAAATGCTATTTCTTGTGATAACGTCATGTGAAGAAATATGAAAAGTCATCATAAAGTCATCATAAATGGTCATTTGTGATAGTTTTGCTTATCCTTAAGGCCTCTTACCCTACTGTAGAGCAAAAGTAGACCACTGCTTTTATGTAGCTTCATTCCATACTGTTTGATAAGAACTGTGATAGAAYGCTTCCAAAATAACTTCACTGAACCTAAAGATAAACTCTGTTCCAGATTTTAAATCCCATTTACAACTCAGAGGTGTTCCCAAAAAAAGATTTCAACACCAGCCATGACAGTGATAATGTTTTCTGCTTCTGACTGATGAATATTTTGCAGCCAAAGCTTCACAATGGCTTGAAAGTTGATGGGGCAGAGGGCAAAGCACAGTGAGACAGATAACTCACTATTGCATTTGAGAGGTTTTTTAAACTTCTCGATGCTGTGGATGTCAGGCAGCCTAGCATCTCTGCAGCCCACAAAATGGATTTTTAATTTTTAATTTAACTTTGACAGTTTCTCCTGCCTTCAAAAGGGCTTTATTCTCTTTGGATACGGCATTTGCATGCTAGCTGCTATCYTTCTTCATCTTTGATGCACAACTGTAATATCTAATACTGGTACTTTAATATTTAAAATGCCGTTGGACTCTCAATAATAGATTTTTTTGTGTTTAGAATACTGGTCTTGAATTCAGGAGATTTGACATAAAATTCTTCTGACACATTTCTACTTATAATACTGGTCAAATCCCTGCAAGAATCTTCCATAAGCCTCTACGTTACTTAGGAAAACGTGCCTCAATTGGGAAGTGTGGTTGATGCTTATAAGAGACTGTACAGCTGACCTGCAATGAAATATTGGCATCTTCAYCTCTGGATATCTGGGGTTTATTCCACTCATCATTGTCCAGAATTTCAAAGAAAATACTGGCCTAAATATCTTCAAGGCTTTAAGCTCAACTTAATCTCCACCTATAGATTTAGGTTTAGATAATTTTTAGAGGTGACTTAGAAACTCAGGTCTTATAATAAGTTAATCAAAGTTTACCATGTAACGCCTACTGGAATTTTCAAACATGCCTAACTGTCAGTACATACCTAAATACATCATACAGGCTGGACCAAGAGGCTTTTGAAAAAAAWTTTTAATTTAATTTTTCTAGGCCTCATATCTCTGTGAAGTGAGMATATTTCTTATGTTTTGCTACCCCGACTCAGATTATAAACTCTCACAAGGCAGGAATTTCTGTATGTCTATTTCTGTATGTCTGTGCATCACCATGGGACTTAGTCTCACTTGATGCTCATTAGCACCAGAGTGGTGTTTATTTAGTCTGTGCTCTTAAAACAGAATCATATTTGGACTACCATTTATAACTTCCAGAGTTAAAAAAAAATAAAAAACATTAAAAACTTTAAAAAAGAAAATGAAAAATATGAACATAATTATTGGGAAATACCAACTTCTCCATTTTCAGAAGTCAAAATCTATGGATGAAAAAGCTGATACTGAATTTTAATACTCAGTTATCCAAAGTAAGTAAAGGAGATTCACAGACTTAAATGGCATAGAAGCTTACAGAAGGAAAAAAAAAGTTTTTTTCACTAAACTGAATCATGAATTTCTGACAAGTGGCCAGGACTTCGGGGGTGTTCAATGTAACAATAATTGCTGCAGAATGCCAACGACTTTGAAATGACTTCTTCATTTCAGTGCCTGAATGGGGAATAGACTCTTTGAAAAATATGATCATCTCTCTCTCTCTCTAGAATAGTCAAAGTTAAAAAAATAAAAACAGGCACATTGCTTATATTAAAACAATCTGTTTCTTTGAAAGTTTTTGAAAGTAAAACAGAAGTCTATATTACTACTGTACATTTATTGTAACATTCTTTAGGTTACAGGCAGAAATCTCAAGAAAATAATTAACAAAAATCTGTCCTTTGAACTCTGCATAATTTAAGTAATCCCTAGAGAATGCATCATGCTGTCAAAAAAAGACCAATTTGTATACCAACTCTAGCAAAACTGTAGAATTATTTACCTGAAATTATGAACTCACTTCACTATCCTTAATATACTTGCCAAGGTAATCAGATCTGTAAAATCTTTGCTTTATCTTTAATATCTACTTCTGACTGCATAAAGGTTTCCTAGCTACTGATTAGAGACCTGCCACAAAACTGAAYTCAAAAATTTAAAATATCTTTTAAGAAACTTATGCTATCTTGAAGTAGAAATAAAATACAGATAGAATACTAGAAGAAGAAATTACAAGAAACCAACAGTTAAGAGATACATTCCCTTATTAATTGCATGTCCCAGGCTGTTCGTGGAAGAGCACAAATGAAACATATTCCCTTTTAAGTCAACAGGATTTTTGCCATTGATCTTAATAGATTCAGCCTCTTTCTAGATGACCAGAATGATATATTACTTTTCTGAGAATCATTAATTAGGATGATCTTCCTTCTAGCGGAAGGGAAACRGGACTTACGGTAGAGATAATCAAGCTAAAGACTAACTTTGTCAAAAAGAATCMCTACAGGAACTTTCAAAGACCATCAGATACGCAGGAGATCTTGYTGCCTCTGGAGTGCCCACAGCCTGCTGGTGACTGAAGAAAGAAATAAGAGCCTTTGCCCAGATCACAGGTTGTCTGTCCACAGTCACACCAACCAAAGAAACAGTGGGTCAGCCACTGCAGGACCTTATTATCTTCCTGATACTCTACAGACATTTTAGCCCAAAATGCCAAGCTTAGAAATACATCTGAGAAGTGAAGTAGGTTAGCTGCATGGAAAACAAATCCTGAGACCTTTGCTGGCCTTTACTACTTAATTCTTACTAAACCGAATTCCCCTGAAATAGAAAGACTCTTCCTCAGCTCCAAGTGCAGTATAAAACACAGAATTTGCCAAGAGTTACCCAAAATACATGCTAATATATTTTAAATTCTGCAGAAATACATAATATACTGTAATGCACCAAATGCTTTTACATATTCAGAACTGTTTATTACGCAAGATTTCTTTCAAAGTTCTTATTCCACTTAGGTCCACTTAGATTTTTCTTTGCGAAATACCTTGCCACTGTGTGAAGACCTAACATTGTGCTTCTTTCCTTAACAAGTGCTGAGATTATCTCCTGTCCRCTAACTCCTTTAGCACCATTTTCTGCATGGATTACAGCTTGCAGTGCAGTAGCTGTGACAWGTGGTTATTAAACTTAGTTGAAGGTGCCTCAGTGCCTAGTACAGAAGCAGGATAAATTACCTCTGGTTACATCTCTAAAAACTGTCTTGGGGATAATTATTACAGTCAAAAGATTCGGCCTGCTCTTGTGGGCTTCTCTGGTCAACAAGCTCATGCTATCCCCTTGAAGATCTTGAGAAATAATCCTCAAGTTCAGCAGCAATTGAACAGTTTCCCTGTTACTGGCAAAGAAATTTCATTCTTTGAACAGATGGGTCACCTATGACATAAGCATTGTTTTCTTTCTCTATACAGAGTCACATAGACTACAGATAGATGCTTATGTAGTCATATAGTTTATATCACGACACGTGTGTATCAGATGCACGCACGCACTCACAAATACGCATTTAACAGAATTTATTTTTGAAGTTATTCCAGGAAATCCATCCTTGGGTTTAGAGCTAGAATTCACAGAATAGTAGGCAACCCATCTTGTGAAGAGATTAAAAAAAAAAGAATACATGAGAGATTAAAAATCCAGGACAAAAGGCAGAACAACTTTCTGTGCCTTTCYATTAGAGAACATTACTATAGAAGAAGCTCAGGCTTTCATGTAGTTATTTTCCATTTTTTTTTTAAAATGGAGTGATAACCTTGAGTTCTATCTACAGGGATTTCCCTCCTCTTTTCACTACTTTTACTATTTCTGTGGCTGACAATTAGAGATGCTATTATGACTTGACCCATATGGCATTTTGAAATGCTAAAGCATCTGGCACTCTGAGATGATGTTAAGTCTCCTCAATAGGTTTCATCTCAAGTTCTAATGAGCGTGACAAAGTAATGATCCACAGAGGGTTTCTGTGGAGTCTCTGTAGGCTTCAGAAAGAAGAAAAAAAAAGAAGGAAGAAGGAAGTTGCTCTCTGTGAACTTTTACAAGAGCCAAGAATGTGCCTCCTGCAAGACAACTGACACAAGAAAATGACAAAATACAGATTTTCTCAACTTCCAGCTGAGGACTCTGCAACGAGTTTTATTTCATGAGTCTGACAAAATACCTGGAGTCAGGCTACAGATTTTGTGGTTATTTACACTGGCAGCTAGAATGCACAGAATTTGGCTTTACTGCAATCTATGATCTGAATAGGGYCACTATTTCATCCACTGGCTCTGGTAAGGTTATTTTTGCTAACAGGTGTTTGTCCATACAAAGAAAGTCTGTACTTTATATATTGGTAGACTGTATTTGTCAAAAACAGATTGTATTAACTCTGACCAAACTGCAAACATATTTTCAGAGACGTATATATTCAATACAAATAATCAGCCTATATGATGGTATTACCCCATGTATTCTTATATGCAATCTAAATTCACCAGCATTTTTATATTCAATTAACTTGTTCAGTTATCTTTCACATGGTATGCCAGCATAAAGTGATGCAACAGACTAAATATGTTTCTTTGCAGATTAATACATATTCATTAGGAAACATATACCAAAATATCAGCAATGCAATGTAAAAATTCTCAATATTTTGTATTTAAATGGGTTGGCAATATTATGTGTATTATGAAATTAATATCTTTGCATTTCATTTATAAAATTTCATTTTCAAATGAAATRAAACATATTTTGTCAATAAATGCATGTTCTTCAGCCCATGAAAAATACCCTGGACCACGAAAGCACRTTCTAAATCCTTACTGTGCCTCAGCCAGTCTGGACAAAGGCCTAAATGAGTTTGAGAAGAGTGTGAAAAAAATCACTCATCAGTTCACTATCTTTCTGTAGGGCAGGAAAAAAATCCTACCCGTCTACATTTGATTGAAACTTAACTGTCAGTGCCTACACAAACCGGAAAAATAGGATTAAAGGCCAGGGAGATATTAACAGTAGTCATCTTGTACATCTGTTTTGACAGATGATTTTCACACTTCACAGGTTTAACTAAAGATCACTTTCACAGCAGTTCTTACTAAGCTATAGCCTTTCTAAATGACATGATTAAAAACAACTGAGGATTAAAGCATCAAAGTGTAAGCTCTCATTAAACTATCTGGAGCATTGATAGCAATGATGAATACAGATAAAACACAACACTTACCTAAAAAATCTTGTATTAATGAGATGTCTATACMTCCAATTAATCTGTTCAATGCTAAGAGTGYTATTCATCTATTTATTTCACTAATACTGTGAAGCTTTAAACACATACTGACCCTCTTTGATATGATTTCAGTATGATTTCATAGGTTTTTAAAATTCTGAAGAGGAGACTGAATCACTTTTTCTTCCTGCTTGTRAAATGAATGCAAACAGATATCTTCCAAAGGTTACAGCTTGAAGCTGATACATACATACATATACAAATGGGTGAATACACRCGTGTGTGATGCCTTTTTAGCCTAGGTCGATGGCAAATACAGCAATACACAGCAGTAAAGATACAGCAGTCCCTAAGACAAAGGATTTCTTTTCTGTTGGCTTACCTGGGAAGAGAGCTTGTTCTCCAAGCTGTTGAGGCAGATCTACGGCTCCAGGAGTGGAAGTTCCAATCCTGGTCCGAGGTTGTGTTGCCAAAGAGCTCACCCGACCCAGCAGTGGCACCAGAGAGTTAGCAGTTGGAGCTACAAAGTCAAAGGTGGCTGCCACAGCTGCATGCCCCGCGTTACAGATGTGCTAGTTCCATGTGGCACCCACATGCTGTGAAGAGAGAAGCAATATTCTTGAAACCTGGAAGTGATTTTGGAGTCTTTCCCTTAATACAAGGAGGGTGCAAAAAAATTCACATCCTTGCTTTACTTTTTACAATATTGTCCAATCTTACTGACATAAGCAATTGTTTATGAATGAAAGCCCCTAACTGAAAGGCAATGTCCTTGAAATTTTGCCTGAYTTGCTTGTCCCTGTACTACAAATCAGAATTGTGGTTTATAATACGCTACACGGGGTTCAGTCCCCAAGCCTGTTCCTCTTTTCCAAGTTAGAGGATAGAGCTAATGCAACAGTGATSTAACTAATTGCTGGGAAAACTAAACATCTCTCCTGATAATTAAAGAATTCTTGTTATAAGTCATAATATTTTTTTCTTACTCAGAAAGACAGTTCAGGTACAGAATTAGTTATTAGCAACTGTTCATTTTTATGCTTTTCTAGATAGATGAGATACTACTTCACCAGCTCTTGATGTTTAGGAGTTACAAAGATAAAAACAGTGAAAGGACAGCAAGTACAAACACTACTGTGGAGTAAGACAGACAGAGGGAGCTCCCATCAATGAATTTCATGACTCCTTAGATTTTTTCTACATTCAATTCAACTGCAGTAAGGYCAGGATTTGTAAGAGTTCATCATTTCTGACTGCAGAGCTCCAGAATAGCTTGATCCTTATACTAAATGTACATAGCGTACAATTCAACTTAATACAAAATAAATAAATAAAAATCCAGCAACCAGAAGGTTTCAGATTATGACAAGRAGATTATTTCAATGAGAACCAATTAAGAAGTTACTGTTACATTCAAGAATATTTATCTAGAGTACCATTCATTGGGGCTGCTAAAGACAGGAGGCAAAGCTAATCTATTTTAGTAACAGAAAAAATATCACAGCTCCTAATTCAGAATCTTAGCCAGAGTAGGTTCCCACTTCAACACTGTTCTTGTAAATTCTTGTTATTCTGGAGATACCTTTTCAGTTCAACCCCAAACCCTGCATAGTGCCTAGTGTGGTGGTGATAGACCTAGTGTGGTCTATGGTACCTAAGGAAGAGCATGAAGATTGGGGGTGCATCTACTCGAAATTGCACTTGCCCAAAGTCAATGAACGTTCACACGTGCCTGAGTCCCTGAGTGACAGTGCTTTAAGTTACCACCCTGCAGGRCAGAGCTACTGAGTTTAAGGGCCACTCAAAAACCTAGGTTCCTAAGCTGAAATCACAGCTCAGATCTTTTAGTAAGAGACACTGTTGCACAACATAGCTTATTTTCTCATTGTTATTCATTCAGAAGTATTCAAATCTTCTAAAAAGAAATATTGAATGAACTTAAACACACATCCTAAGAAAAGCAGAGTAGCTTGTATGCCACAGAATACAAGCCAATATACCCTAGGTGCATTACTGAACTGTCAAAGCACTGACTGTACTGCAGTGGTTGCCTCTAATTAATCCACTGAGTGCCATTAATACAACGTCCACATGTGTGTTGTTTGTGCAACTAATACTTTGGAAACAGCATCTTGATTTGAGCTTCCTGATGTAACTGAATGAATATCTGCAGTAATTGCAAAAGGGCATGTTTGAAAACAAGTAGTTATAATTTTAAGCAAGTTTATTCTTTCCATGTTAACTTTCTTTACAAGTTTTTCATGTTTAACTGAAATGCCTTTATGTCTTTTTTTTCTTTGGTCAACTGTTCTTAACACAATTCTTATCAGTAATTCATGCTCTACTTGCCTTTTCTTTTTTTCCTGAGCATTCACCAATAAAACCAAGCCTCCCATGGGAATACCGTCTCTTATGGAGAACACTGTTTGGCTTACAGATACTCTGAGACATTTTCCGTGAACTCGTCCTACTCATAAATCCTGCTGTCCACGTCTGTTTTAAAGACAACTCAGGTGCATGTGAAATTGCCGGTGCAGGTCAAATTTCATGGTAGGGAAGATAATACAATTCTAAGTCACTATAAGGTTTAAATTATCTCCCTTCTTTAAAGCTGTGTTTCATAACCTGAACAGTCTGAACATGCCTCCTGTTATGGGGTAATTCTGTGTAACTTCTGCATATGCTATATTTGAATAATCTGCAAGCATAATAGAATTTAGTGCTTTATGTTGCATCCATAATCTATTATTAAGTCTCAAGTCAATTGCTGTAGGGTTAGTGCACCTGAACTAGCAGGAAAGGGCCATGAATAAGATATATCAAGGATTCCTTGGTTTGGTTCAAGAATCAAACCCATGTCCTTAAGAACCCTAGYTTAAGGGGTGCTTTCACAGACTCTTTGACAACTTTCAAAAATACTAAATACTAGGTATTTAGTAAAAGTATTTTTGAAAATCTCTAAATTGGCAAGGAAAGTCAAAAGACAATATATATAAAAACTTCCTTGATGGTGCCTGCCTTTTAGAGTAAAGAATGTGTATCATTATAATTTTACATGAAATTAGTGAACACTAATGATCGAGTGTAATCAAACTCTAAGTATCCAGACTGTGAAAAGAATTCAAAAAAAGGGAAAGGATAGAAAATTTGGGACTGAACAACCTAGCATACAAGCACATCAGCAAATAGTTAAGTAATTCTTAGTTTTGAATGGTCAAATGGTAGGAACTCACAGAAAGTGAGAAAAAAATCAGTTATCTGGAAAGCTAGTTTTATATAGAGTGGCACATGCCATCCAGAAGGAGAACTTGGAGGCAGCTCAACTACACTTCTATTACTTCTTCATTTTCCAAATATCATATCATCAGACAGGATAAAAACAGTGATGTCCAGATCACCGGCCTCACAAAGAAACAGCATCCATACAACAGAGGCAAAAAGATTGCAATTGCAACCTCTGAAATATGAGTGCTAAACAGAGTAGTATAGTCCCTAATGGGCCTATAGGGCTGTACAGGACATCTTGTTACATGTCCTGTACAGCCACTGTACAACTAAACAGTATCTAATCCTCACTAAAGTAGCGAGTTCTCGCCACAGAAAAGGCGTTACAGCTTTTCTAAGAAACCAACAAAATTACATGGAATCATTCAGGGAAATTCTTGCATAAAGAAATATTCGCAGGCTTAACATCTCCATTGCTAAGCCAAATTCCCACCACTATAAGCGTTTCCTGATGTGTATATTGTACTTATGTAAATACAGATTTAGAAGTCTTATTTTCAGTTCCAGATAGCCTCTGAGGTATCATGGTCGCATTTAAAAGGCATTTTTTTCATTGTACAGATATTAGCATTTTATGAAAGAAGTAATTATCATATCAAATGCAGGAGATCAATTAGCTGCCAAAGCACCTGTCTTTGTTCCTAGTCTGTTCCTGTCTACGAACTAACAAGTGATACCTGTAACAAAATCAAAGCCAGGCTGGCCGAACGCTGCCGTAACCCAGGACGGCTCCTCACAGCAGCAGCAGCCGCGGTTCATTCATCGCTCTCAGCACCACAAGTGCAGGAGATTATGGGCATCCGTTTCGATTTGCTCCTATTGTAAAGCCAAATCCTAAATGAGTTCTCAGACTCAGCAACTGCTCTTTCATTTTCTGTCTGTTGACTGTGTGCTTTTACTCCACAACTGCCACTTGGTTCCAGTAACTCCCGCATTTACTCCTCAGCCTTTTTCAGATTCAGGTCAGGAGATGTCTAATTCTCCAGACCTGCCCATGCTGGAAACCCAAAAGCTTCTGTGCGGAAGGAGCGGGGCGCTTCTGGGGCACAGTACAGCTCAGCTGCCAGAGCTGTGCTGCGTCGAGGCTCTCGGAGGCTGTGAAGGAGTCTGAAGAGGATTTAACTCATGATGATGAAACAGGACCAGAACACTGCACTGCACAAAGCAGAGATCAAACACATTTGCCTCAAAAGAAGTGTAAGAAATTGTGAGAGCTGCAATGCCTTGGTGAGCTGAGAATGAGCAGCCTGAGGCAATACATGTCCAGAGAGCAGCAAATTCAGCAAAACAGCAGCTAAACACCTTATTCTGCAGTCTAGGTATAACTCATTTCTCATGAGATTTCCCTATATGTAAGAGAGAAGAAAGGTTTTACATGGCAGGGGGAGTAGGGTGAAGAGGAGGAGAGGAAAAATGTAATCAAATTTGAAGTTGAATCTGTTCTGAATTCCCCATACAATCACATGCCAAATACATCCTGACAACTACCATTCTCCACTTGTCACTGAGGCCTTGCCTTTATCACAAAACTTCTTGCACTTTTGCCTTGATCACACTCCTAGTGATATAAATGGCTCAAATATCCATTGACTGCAGTGGGACAATAATCTTTCATGCACAATTATCAAATTTCTATCTGCAGACATTATTTTAAACTGAGTCATATTATATGACCACGCATTCAGGAAATGAAGGCGACAGTCTCTGACTGGAATTTCATCTGTTCTAGAGCAGAGACAAATCAGGAAAGAAACAGTAGACCGAGGTTTAGCACTAGATTGATTCACTTTAAAAAGAAAACTGCAAACGCCATAGCTGGCTATGATTTGGTTACTTGATCAATCTCACAAAGTATTCACCAACACATAGCATTTTTCTTTTACCTCTTTTCACTTCGTGCAAAGAATAAACAGCATAAATCTTTCAGTGTAGAAACTTAACATTGGTTTAATACGCATTGCTTTAAACTAGATCTCAACAGGATGCTGACAAACAGACAGCAAATACTAGTTTCCAGTTCTCAACTGTAACTGTTAAAAAAAAGCATGCAAATTGGCTATTCCACCTAAAATCTTATCCAAATGCACTGTATGTTTATTCAGTATTATGTACTGCTAATAATGAATTACTTGTGCAGGTGACCAACTCAGGTCCACACAAAGGAAAAACAGTTTAACAGTTGTCAAAGCCAACCCAATCGCTGTTCCTGAGATCTTCACTTTGCAATTTTCTGATAGGAATTGCTTTTGTTGCTATCAGAAAAGTGTTGGGCTATTGAGTGATAACTGGTACCTTACAAAGATTTATACTGCACTTTTCAGAGGAAGTTACAAAGGTCAGCTCATTTATCTCGTGCTGGCATATACTGACATGCCCCTTATCCATTAAAGAAGCCAAACTGGAGGTCACTAAGGGCCTGGAAAACAGAAGAGTCCATCGACAGAAAACTTAGCCCACAGCACATCTTCAGTTAAGTTAMAGTTAGAAATGGTGGAGAAGAAAAAGGAAGGGGGCACAGGGACTTGCATTTTGCTTCCATTTGCTATTGACACTGGTGGAAATATAATATTTAATCAAAGGCAACTCAGATATTGTAAAAATACAAGAATTACCCTAGTATTAAAGCACCTATATATCCTCATAATTTGGACAGTTTGAAAAAACACATGTATTGCTTGTAAAGAGCACAGAAATTCCTCAACATCTGCACTGAGCTCACACAGAATATTACAAATTGCTCATAATTCCCTGAATATTCATTCCATTTGTGTTTAATTTGCAGCATATGATGTTTTATGCTAGCAATTATATAAAACAAACAGTTATGAACACAGATAAAGACCTAGTATAGAGCATAGTGCAATGTAACTATGCAATCAATTTTAAAGCAAAACTACTGGCGTCGTTTCAAAAACGTAAAGCTCTTCATGCAGCTGGAATAAGCATTTATTATTTACACTCTGCAGGCTTTTCATTCACATCTACCAACATGTTTGCCATTTGGAATGAAGATGAATTAGCAAGGCAAGAGTCACGTACAAATTTTTTTCTCCRGTGAACTTCAAATTTGATTATACTCAAGCCAGCCATTCCCATACTCCCTCTCTAGTGATTAGGTGACAGAAATGTGAGTGGCTTATTAAGAGATGCGTAGATGGGGCTGGTAGAGGCTATGTCAGACTAACTTGTGGCTCTGGATCTGGTTACATACCTGAGGTTAAATGCCATACCTGTAAGCTTGCCAAGGYAGATTAGTGTCATGAATAATGTAAAGCATTCTACAGCAGAAAAAATAATATCCACCCATTTAACTGCTAGTTCAACACACAGAGCATTGTTTTTCCACACAAAAGCCTGCCTGGGTTTTTTRGACTGTGAAACACATGGCAAGTGACTGTTCAGAGCTCTGTTCTGACTCGGTCAGTAGTACAAGGAGTTGAAGAAGTTGTCAAGCTCGCAGAAAATCATGTGGCTGCTTTGAAATCTGCCTAAAAATTTGTATTACATATATATATTTTTCCAGAAACAGTATTTAAATATAGGCATTGCAATTACAGATATACTCAAATGCACAGACAATAATGTTTTAATATATTATCTAGAATCATTAGACTATTTCTCAAGGAGATAACTGTTGCTGAAAAGCACATGTCATATAAACTGCTACTCTTCAAATTAAAAAGCCATGTTGCAAAAAGCTGTATTCTCCTGTGGCCCTTGCTACTGGTACTGGAAAGTCTAAAAATAAAGAGTTGGTATGAAAATAGTTTTTATAACAAGTAAATTGATCTTTTGTCTCTCAAACATTTGGAAAAAATCTGCAAGTTGCTAAAAACATCCTCTGAGCATATATAAAACAAAGATACCTCAAGTAAGATTTGTGCAAAATTTCCATATCTAAATCACCAGTCTTGGCACAGTTGTTTTCTAATGAACAAGGAACTTCTGTTCTACAGACAGTTCACTTTGACATTCAAGGTCTCTGAATACTTCTCTGTGCCCAGCTCGAATTGCCCATCCTGAGCAACTCAACTCTCCTGTTCCAATCCCGTTCCAAAATCTATACTGCTGAGGGGTCTAATGTCAGCATAGTTTATGATATGGATAATATATGCATAGGGAGTTTTTCTTTTATGACAGCAGTTTATTTTGTTATATTTGTTTTGATAATTGCCTGGAAATCAGAAAACTCACCCAAGCAGTAGGAGACTCTGATTCAATTTCCCCGTTGGCCAGAAAACCCACAAACCTCCTCTGCACCATCCAAGGAAAAGCAGTTTCCAGGCTACGGAAGCAAAAGGCAGCCTCCTCCTGTCCTATATAGTCATTTTTTTTTCTACTGTGCAGAAAAGATCCAGGATTCACAGATGAAAGTGGAAGAGCAGTCATTAAACTATTATTCACATAAATTCCTGAACAGAAGTCTAAGGCTTTTTGCCACTGGCTATGCTTACGCACGGCCAAACCATGTGCCCATTAGGATCAGCTGCAGGAACAAAGCAAATACCTGAGAACTAATGCACTGTCAGAGCCAACTTGCAATGCCAGCTTCAGCAAAATCTGTGTGATCAAATTCCTGTGAATAAAGATTAATTAAAAGATTCTCCTAATCGTGTTGCAGCTCCTAACTTGACAGCAATCTGCCTCCACAAAAACAAAATACATTTACAAAACRCATTGAGTGGGTATGAAAAGTATTTGTTTACTGATTACTATTGAATAAATGGGAAAAAAGTAATGGTCTTGTCATGTTCCAGTTTTGACAYACCTCAAAAATATTTCTTGGCCTTCAGGCAGGGAAAAAAAAAAGAAAAAAGAAAGAAAAAAGAAAAAAGGACAAATAATCAAGTTTCCCAGAATCTGAGACAAGGCCCCAGAGCATCTCTTAGAAAAGTCAGAGCCTGTACTTTACAGATATCTATGCTCCTGGCAAAATACCAARTTATACTTAGCTGGAAAGCAAAATCTACACTGGGCATCAGGGACTAACTTAAAAATGTAACTGAAATCCTTCCTTAGGAAGGAGAAAGGCAAAATTTCTTACACAGAAATAACGCTGCCTGGCTTCATTAGGCTCCAAAACACCTACCATACAACCAATGGAGGAAAAGCCCTTGCCTCTAAACACAGCATTGCACAGTTGGCTTTTTAAACCTGCAAACAAGATCCATTCTTGGGCCGGAGCTGTCACTCACCCTGGTGGGAAGGGCTCAGGGTGCTGAGCAGGAGTCTCTTTCTGCAGGGCTGTCACTCCCACACTGACGCAGGCAGTAAAGAGCCTGAGGAGAAGCATCCCTGATCCCAGATTCCTTTGGCATCACCCCGTGACCAGCAGGCAAGTTGCAAAAAGGAGCAACCTGTAACAGCGAACAGGCACAGTGCAGAAAATATTCACTTAACTAGACTGAACAAAGAGGTTCCCAGCAGTTCTGCGGGGGCACAGCGCAGAGGTAAGCGCAGTCAGGGCACAGCCAGCTCCACGTACATAATCCACCCAACAGGGACCTGTCAGTGCAAAGGGGGTCCCAAGCTGCCCTCAGCCCCAGCCCAGCCRCTCGGCTCCTGCCGTGGGCGAAGCGGCTGCCGCAGAGACCAGGGAGGAGCCTTTGGCCTCAGCTGGCAGCTCCCTCACACCAAACGAAGCACTGGATTGTGCGTCTAGGGACCCAAGAGAGCCCTCGGAAATACTTCACATGCATTTTTAGCATTTACTTCATTAATACATAATAAAATACTGTTTTTAAAGAAAAAATTGGAATAGACATGACTTCTCTCCAAATTCCTTCTAAGTGCTAGCTGCAGAACCAGAGGGTCAGATCATTGATACCACTCAGAGCAAGATTTATGATCTCACAAGCTAAGCAGGATCATCCTTGAAGGTTTCATAGCTGCATAGAAGACCACAGGGATTAAAAAAAAAAAAATCACAGGGCTGTGAGAACTAACGGTGACAAAAATGAAAGTATTTCTCTCAGTTCCATATCAAGCACTTGCTGGAACACTTATCTTTCAAACTGGAAATTAAGTTCAAATCATTATTAATATCACAGGACTTTTTGCTGGACCAGGAACTATCAAATTATGTTATGCTCTTATGAGCATATGTTATGAGGTCAGGAAAACAACAGGTATCTCTTATTTCTGGTTTAAAATGTTTTATAACTCTTACTTGCATTGGCACAAAATTGGATGCCAGTTTAGTTCCACCTACAGTTCTACCCTGTTCTTGATTACAACACAGAACATGGGTGTACAGGGAATACTAAAAAACTTAAATATAAAAAACACTTCTGAAACTTTTTTCCTATTCTGTAACCTTTTCTTAATGATCAAGATGAAAATCCAATTTGAAAGAACGTTGCTTTGCTTTGACATAGTCATTGATGTATGTGTGCATACAGATAGCCTTCTTTCACTGACAAATAAATTCAAAAAAAAATCAACTTTGGCATTGAATCTGGTTCTCTAGTCTCTAGGTCAGGAATGATGAAGACAAAGAAAGAACTGAATATTCTGGACATCCTTTGTATAAATGGAAGGTGTCTGATCACATTCCAATGGATTTAAGTATGTTGATAGATGCTGAATGATTAATGCCAGTATCTAGCCAGGGTCAGCATCCCAAGGGTAGGAGGCGGCAGCATCTGGCCAGCTGACTGTGGAGCTGTTAGAAGTTACCTGGAATACGTTATGCTAAAACACTAAGAACATGGGAGATGCTCCCTTTTCATACTTGTAATGCCAAATCCCATCTGGGGATTGCCCACTGTCACTGCAGAATGCCTTCAGGAAGGGACAATGCCCTAGTTAGATGCGTCTCAGAACTTTTTTTTTTTTAAACCCATTTATCGAATTTCAGAAGACAGATTTATTCTATGGAAAATTTATCTTGGAAAAAATCTATACAAGTAGAAGAATGTCAATGTTTCAAAAGTAAATCATGTGACATACACTGCTATGAGTTATCGCCCTCAATATTGATTTCAGGCAAAATCATGAGAGTCAGGCAAAATCTGATTAAGGATTACTACTTATTCTTCAAGGACTAAATATACTTTCTAGTAATCAACAGGTTTGAGGAAAAATAAGTCTTGTCAGAGCAAATAGTCCTACCAAAAATGACTACAACTGTTAAAAGCATATATTTGAACATGTTTAAAGTTTTTAACTCAATAGCACCCAAATTTCTGATCCTGGAGCGCAATATCGCAACACCCAATCATTATATAGCAGTATCAAATCCAAAAATAGTTCCTTGTTACTAGATTTCTTAATAAATAATTATCAATTACTGCTGGAGAAAGGCTATCAAGAGGATTGCACTACTCAGCCAGCAGTATAATATATTTTTTTTACTATGAAGTTGACATATTTTGCAATAACGTATAGTTGATATATTTTGCAAGAACGTATAGCAAGCATGCATAGACTGGAAAAGAGCAAAGACAGGTCATGACACTAAGAGCAACTCAGATCGCTTGGTAAACTGGACGTGACTGATGTTTTTCAAAACAGCCAAATATCAGGCTTACAGTACTGAAATTAATCATTATAATCTCTAACCCCTACAAGGACTTAAAGAATCATCAACARTGAATATCTGAACCCAAGTCCCAATGCACTTGCTGAACCACTAGCTAAAATTTATCATCTGTGTTTTTTTATTGGGGAACATATTAGACTGTCATCATTCTAAATTCACTGGTTATAAAATCTATGAGTAATAAGCAGCGCTACAAAAAATGATTTGTGTTGAGTCTCCCCTATGTAATCCTGTAATATRTTACATCAATCATAATGCTGCTGCTGCTATTATTGACAGATTTGTAATTTGGAGTTCTTTTTGTAATGTTTTTGTAATTCTAACTTGCATATCAGGAGAATAGTAGAAAAAAGGTAAACAACTATGGGTTTGTCGAATATCTCACATTTGATTTAAGACAATACTGCAGTGAGCCTGATCAGTGACACTCAGTGCTCATCCTGGACACAGTACTAACATTATTAACACTTATATAAATACAATTTAGCTATTTTCCTCAAAAAATACACACCTGTAGCAATAGAAACTTGCAGCAACCAAGTCAATGTCAGTTATTTCACTGTATTCAATGGATAAATAGAGCTTATATATCACTACTGTGTATATCTCTGTTGGCCTTGGTGCAGTGTGCCTTCCTGTAGCACAAAAATAAAACATTTTTAATCAAAGAGAAGCACAAAAATAAACAAAAATAATAAAGTTAATTCATTAAACTTGCCCTAGATGATTTTTATACATTATTTTGTCACATAAAGTATAACATAAAACCCAAGTAGAACTATCATTAATATTCAGTTTTGAGATTATCAATCAATAAAATYTGGCATTTGTACTGGTCTGAAAAAAAAGCACATGCAGCTGTTTTCTTACTCAGATACAGAACAAGTAGAAAGAAAGAAAGATTTGTAAATTCACAGACTGAGCTACTGCAGTTTGCAGTTGTAAAACAGATGGACTGAAGAATTGGGAGAAAAAGAGCACTGTGAAACCCTGGAGATCGTGGGCTGGAAGAATCCTTCTGGTAATATTCCRTATTGTGGAACATATTTGGAAAATGGCTGCAAAACAGGTCAGTTCTCTTTCCGGGACACAGGATACACTGCACAGGGGTAGCAGTCAGAAGGCAGCTCACAGYATTCTCATCTTTTAGCGTTTTAGGAAGAGACTAAAGGGATTTGTTTGGTTCTGATGGAGTCTCCACTTTTTTTAATCCCGTTAACRGAGCTCTGCCAGGAATGATTTATACCACAAGCTCACTTACAAGGAACAAACATTTGTCTTTGCAATAACATGGCAAACASAATGTGTCAGGTATTTTCAAGGCATTTTCTCCGGCACATTGCTTCTACCTGGTTCCATTTCACTCCATTTTTTTTTACTCTCTCTGTTTCTCAGAATCAAAGCCAAAGCATGACTATTTTCTACATAGTACACAAAGAGCTTTCCTAAGTAGCATTGCCCAARTTTGACAGTTTCACCTTAAAATGGAAAAAGGAATAAATGTTTCAGTTCCTTTCTTTTCTCTGCAATCTGATTATAAAGTTTGATTTAATAACCAATTTCCGAAAGAATGACATTATCATCATCCTCGATGCATAAAGCTGGCACAAGGTAGAGCGAACAGGGCAGGACGATGTCAGTAAGGCCAGACTGTGCTCGGAAAAGCCTGAAGAAACRATAGATTTTGACAAATGCTTTCCTGGATCAAGCAAAATGTAGATTCCAAACGCTGGAATCACTGAGGCTTTGCAACATGTTTCACACACCCATTTCTGTTGAAGGATATTGAAGAGATACTCCCACTAAGTTCTGAAAATAAATATTTTAAATTTACAGGGGAAAAAAAAAGATAAAAAAGGATGGAAGAGAGAACCACAGCACACTTCACAGTCATATCAGTTCTTAAGATCTTTAAATTTCAGAAAATACTCAAGAAATACTCAGGCATTTCTTTAATTTTCGTAGTTTAAATAGATATAGAACAGGCACATAAAAAACAAAGAAGAGGAGATTCTTAAATGCTTTCCTTGCAAATGAAATGATCTTCAAACCAGAAGTAAAAGATGTATTGCAGGGTAGGTGACAGACTAACCATGAAAGCCTAACCTCAAAGAGAAACCATTGCCATGCTCTAAAAAGGATCCAATCCAATAACAGAGCATTAAAAAAGATGAGGAAGGACAGCAAGCAATACAAAGCTTAAAGAGAAGAAATGACCACAAGAACCRCTTGTTGGAGGGTGTTCACAAGCATGGAAAAGCGATATTTCAAGGCAGACAAAACCTCGTTGAGGTTTCGTTTATTAAATCAAATATACTGAACACTTAACTCCTAGCAACAAAGGTATCGAACAGCAACTTATAAATCTTATTATTTCGCCTGTGGTGAAATGGGATTTTCTAAGCAGCTTTGTACTGCTGCACCCATTCGTACTGGAGTAAACTGAAGTATATGGAGGTATATGTGTATATATAATATATAGTTTTATATGTATATATATATATATATGGAGATAATGCCAAATTATCCCCACATCCCTCGGCTGGTAGGACAACCAAGGCAGAGCTGCAGATGAGCAGCCCAGCAGCAGCTGCTGTGGCCTCCCTGCAGCTGTGACAGAGCGGGAACCCAAGGGCGCTAGAGGCTTGTGATGGTCAGCTCCAAAGCGCGCTCATTAACACTACAGCCACTGGAACAA